TTTATATTCTTTTGTTTGTTTTTTTAGATTCCATATATAAATGAAATCAAATGGTATTTGTCTTTCTCTATCTGACTTATCTCCCTTGCCCAATAACCTCAAGGTCCATCCATGTTGTCACAAATGGCAGTATTTCATTCTGTGTAGCTAAGTAGTATTCTGTTATATATATAATATATATATTATATATATTATATATATAACACATTCTCTTTATCCATTCATCTATCAGTGGACACTTAGGTTGTTTCCATATCTTGGCTATTGTAAATAATGCTGCAGTGAACATAGGGGTGTATATATCTTTTTGAATTTGTGTTTTCCTGTTCTTTGAGTAAATACCCAGAAGTAGAATACCTGGGTCATATGGTGGATCTATTCTTAACTTTTTGAGGAATCTCCATACTGTTTTCCGTACTGACTGCACCAGTTTACATTCCTACCGACAGCTAACAAGCGTTCTTTTTTCTCCACATCCTCTCCAGCACTTGCTATTTGTCTTATTTTTTTTTTTATAATAGTCATTCTAACAGGTGTGAAGTGATAACTCATCATGGTTTTGATTTGCATTTCCCTGCTGATTAGTGATGTTGAACATCTTTTCATGTCTTTTGACCATCTCTGTATCTTCTTTGGAAAAATGTCTGTTCAGATCCTCTGCTCATTTTTTTATTTTATTTTTTTGTTGTTATTGTTGTTGCTGAGTTGTATGAATTCTTTATGTATTTTGGTTTTGTATCAGATACATGATTTGCAAATGTCTTCTTCCATTAAACCTTTTCATTTTGATGATGGTTTCCTGTGCTGTGCAGAAGTTTTTCAGTTTGATAGAGTCCCATTTGTTTATTTTTGCTTTTGTTTCCCTTGCTTTTGGAGTCAGGTCCACAAATACATCTGTAAGTCTAGTTTCATTCCATTGCATAACTGTCCAGTTTTCCCAGAACCATTTATTGAAGAGACTGCCCTTTCTCCACTGTGTATGTTTTTGGCCTCCTTGTTATAAATTAATTGTATACTTGGGGAGTTATTTCTCAGCTATTGATTTTGTTCCATGGATATGTGTGTGTTTTTTATGCCAGTATCATACTGTCTTGATTACTATAGGTTTGTAGTATAGTTTGAAATAAGGGACCATGATACCTTTAGCTTTGTTCTTTCTCAAGTTTGCTTTGGCTATTCTGGGTCTTTTATGGTTCCATTCAAATTTTAGAATTATTTGTTCTAGTTCTGTGAAAAATGCCACTGGAATTTTGGTAGGGATTGCATTGAATCTGTAGATTGCGTTGGGTAGTATGGACATTTAAACAGTGTAAATTCTTCCAATCCATGAACATGGACTGTCTTTCCATTTATTTGTTTCTTCTTCAGTTTGTTTCATCAGTGTATGTGGCTTTCACCTCCCTGGTTAAATTCATTCCTAGGTATTTTATTCTTTTTGATGCTGTTGTGAATGCCATTGCTTTCTTAATTTCTTCTTCTGATAGTTTGTTATTAGTGTATAGAAACGCCACAGATTTCTGTATATTTCTGTATTCTGCAACTTTACTGAATTTGTTTATTAGTTCTAACAGTTTTTTGATGGAGGTTTTCTGTGTATCTGCAAATAGTGATGATTTTACCACTTCTTTTTCTGATTTGGATGCCTTTTTTTTCTTTTTCTTGCCTGATTGGTGTGGTTGGGACCTCCAATGCTGTGTTGAATAACAGTGGAGAAAGTGGAATTCTGATCTTGTTCCCAATTTTAAAGGACAAGCTTTCAGTTTTTCACTATTAAGTATGATACTAGTTATGAGTTTATCATACAGGGCCTTTACTTTGTTGAGGTATGTACCCTTTATACCCACTTTGTTGAAAGTTTTTATCATAAAAAAAGAAAGAAAGAAAAAAGAAAGTTTTTATCATAAATGGAGGTTGAATTTTGTCAAATGTTTTTTCTGCATCTATTGAAATGATCATAAGATTTTTATCCCTCATTTTGTTAAAATGGTGTACCACATTGATTTGTGGATGTTGAACCATCCTAGCATCTCTGGAATAAATCCTACTTGATCATGGTATATGATCCTTTTAATGTGTTTTTGAATTTGGTTTGCTAATATTTTGTTACGGATTTTTGCATATTTGTTTGTCAGGGATATTGGCATGTAATATCCCTTTCTCATAGTGTCCTTATCTGGTTTTGGTATCAGGGTAATGATGTCATATTTTACATCATTTATTTTATGCATCCCTTAACCAATTGTAGTTTTAATTTTTTTAAAAGATTTTATTTATTTGACAGAGAGACACAGCGAGAGAGGGAACATAGGCAGGGGGAATGGGAGAGGAAAAACAGGCTCCCTGCAGGGGAGCCCGATGTGGGGCTCGATCCCAGGACCCTGGGATCATGACCTGATCCTAAGGCAGACGCTTAATGACTGAGCCACCCAGGCGCCCCTGTAGTTTTAGTTTTACTACTATTCTCTTTTAGCCTTCATACTTGCTTTATAAGTGATTGATCCACTGTCTGTACTATAGATTTATCTTTTCCAATGAGAGTTTTACTTTTGTATTTTTCCTTGTTATGAAATATTAAATATTTCTTTTTAGCTTAAAGAAGTACCTTTAACATTTCTTGTAAGACCATTTTAGCAAGGATAAACTCCTTTAGTTTTTGCTTATCTGGAAAATTCTTATTTCCCCTTCAATTCTTTTTTTTTTTTTTTTAAAGATTTTATTTATTTATTTATTTGAGAGAGCAAGAGAGAGAAACAGCATGAGAGGGGAGAGGGTCAGAGGGAGAAGCAGGCTCCCCACTGAGCTGGGACCCTGATGTGGGACTCGATCCCAGGACTCTGGGATCATGACCTGAGCTGAAGGCAGTCACTTAACCAACTGAGCCACCCAGGCATCCTCCCCTTCAATCGCTGGGTAGAGAATTCTTGGTTGGAAGTTTTTTCCTTTTAGCACTTCGAATATGTCATGCCACTCTGTTCTGACCTGTAAAGTTTCTGCTGAAAAATCTTGATAGTCTTATATGGTTTCCTTGTATGTATTTCTTTTGATGCCTTTAGGATTCTCTCTTTAATTTTACCCTTTTAATTATAATGTATCTTGGTGTGGATCTCTTTGGGTTTGTCTTATTTGGAACTCTCTAGGGTTCCCCCCGTATGCCTGTTTACTTCCCCAGATTAGGGATATTTTCAGCTATTATTTTTTAAAAATTATTTTTCTGGCCTTTTCTTTCTTCTCCTCTGGGAACCCTATAATGTGAATGTTGTTCTGCTTGAAATTCTCCGAAGGTTTTCATTTTTTAAATCTTTTTTCTTTTTGCTCCTTTGTCTGAGTGAGTTCCATTGTTTTGCCTTCTATCTCACTGATCTGTTTCATTTAGTCTGCTGTTGAACCCCTCTAGGGTATTTTTCAGTTAAGTTTATATATTTTTCAGCTCTGTAATTTCTATTTGATACTTTTTAATATTTTCTCTCATTTTGTTGAAGTTTTCACTGTGTTCATTCATTCATTCTGAGTTTGGTGGGCATCTCTATGACCATTATTTTGAACTCTCTTGCTTGTCTCATTTTATTAAGGTCTTTTCCTGAGCTTTTGTCTTGTTCTTTGGAACATACTCCTCTGTCTTCTCATTTTGCCTTTCTGTGTTTGTTTCTATGTATTAGGCACATCAGCTACCTCTAGCAGTCTTGAAGGAGTGGCCTTTGTAGGAGATAGCTCGTGGGGCTCAGAAGCACTTATCCTTCCTAGCCACCAGTGCCAGGTGCTCAAGGGGTATCTCCTGTGTGAGCTGCACCTGTCTGCCCACCTACTCTGGTAGGGCTGTGGCTGTGACATGGGAGTATGTGGGGCTCTTGTCTGGCCCACCTGTGATGTGTGGCTATGGCATAGGAATAGGTATCTATGCCTGATCTTGATGCACAATATTATATAACAACATATTATAGATTTACTTTGGAAGCATAGTCTTTTTCATTCTACCACTGGTGGAATGGCATTCTACCATTGGTAAGGCTTTTTCATGCTAAGAAATAGATTTAAAATTAGATTTATAATATTTCAAAAAATAATAACAGATGTCGGTGAAGATGTGGAATAAGGCGAACCCTCTTAGACTGTTGTTGGGAATGTGAACTGGTACAACCACTGTAGAAAACAGTACGGAGATTCCTCAAAAAGTTAAAAATAAAACTACCCTATGATCCAGCAATTGCACTACTAGGTTTTTACCCAAAGGGTACAAAAAATTTTGATTTGAAGGGGGCACACACACCCCGGTGTTTATAGCAGCACTATCAACAATAGCCAAATTATGGAAAGAGTCCAAATGTCCATTGACTCATGAATGGATAAAGAAGATGTGGTATATATACACAATGGGATATTATTCAGCCATCAGAAAGAATTAAATCTTGCCATTGTTATATGCATTAAGAAGAGGGGAGAGGGAGCGCCTGGGTGGCTCAGTCGTTAAGCATCTGCCTTCAGCTCAGGTCATGATCCCAGGGTCCTGGGATCAAGTCCCACATCGGGCTCCCTGCTCGGCGGGAAGCCTGCTTCTCCCTCTCCCACTCCCCCTGCTTGTGTTCCTGCTCTCGCTATGTCTCTCTCTGTCAAATAAATAAATAAAATCTTTAAAAAAAAAAAAAAAAGAGGGGAGAGAAGAAATATTTTTTTTAAATAAAAATATAATTGTTCCCTCATGTGAAACAAAGCTCTTTAATGATTTACTTATGGCTTTAAAAAAAATTATTTGCTTATGGCTTTATTCTCACTATGCTGACTTTGGGGATTCTACTGACAGCATTCACTCAAATTAATACTGATTTTCTAACTAAAATTTAAGATCATATGAAAAGTCAGACTGAGTTTCTGTGACAGTTCACTGCTATATATAGGCTTGTAAGAGAATAAGGAATTTAAAAGGTAGGAGAATTAACGAGATGCATATTTCTGTTTAAAATCCAAATACTGATGTGAAGTCATATGTTTTACATTTCATTGTATAGACATTGAAAACTGGCTTGACAATGGTTGGGAAAGTGGTGACTCAGCTGACAGGCACACTGCCTTCAGGTGTGACCGAAGACGATGTTGCCCTCCATAGTAATTCCAGGCGGAGTCCTTTGGTTCCAGGCATCATCACAGTAATTGACACTGAAACAGTTGGAGAGGGCCAGGTAAGAACTTCTGATACAGGTAATGTCCTTTTTCTGCAAAGGATGGGGTGACTAAGAATATCATTTGTGATCAAGAACAGCCAAATACACTTGGCCTTGGAGATTATTAATTTGGAATTCTAGCAATTGAGGTTATTTCAGATTAAAATTCTTTTTTCAAGAAATGATGAGTAACATGTTAAAACCTGTTATTTCAAACATTATTAATGTTTCAAACCTGAGGGTAAAATTGAGGTTCTAAGGAGTTCTTGTTACCTCTTCATCAGAACATTTGTTTCACAAATAAATAATTACATATCTCTTTATACTGTTCCGTTCATAATACAATTTTTAAAAAAATGATGCTTGTTGTAACCTATATCAGAAGATTAATAACTGATTTTTAAAAGATTTTATTTATTTATTTGAGAGAGAGAGCACATGAGTTGAGGGGGAGGGGCCAAGTGAGCGGGAGAAGCAGACACCCCCGTGATCAGGGAGCCTGATGTAGGGCTCAATCCCAGGACCCCGAGATCATGACCTGAGCTGCAGGCAGATGCCTAATCGACTGAACCACCCAGGCACCCTTTAGTAATTGATTTTTAAAGTAGAGGCTTGCTCATAGAAGCAGTCAATAGGACCTTCCACATTTTGGAGGGAATTTAAAAAATTATTGACTAGAGGAGCAAGATGGAGGAGGAGTAGGAGAACTAAATTTCCTCTGGTCCCAGGAATTCAGCTAGATAGTTATCAAACCATTCAGAACACCTACAAATTCAACAGGAGATCGAAGAAAATAGTAGCAGCAACTCTATGAACAAAAAAGCGACCACTTTCTGGAAGGTAGGACGTGTGGAGAAGTGAATCCGAGGCGATATTCATGAAGATAGATGGTGGGGGGAGGGAGCCTCCATCAGCTGGCTACTGGCCAGTGATAGAGCAGCGGAGCACAAAATTGGAACTTTTAGAAGTCTGCTCTGCTGAGGGACGTCACTCCAGTGGCTAAGTGGGGGTGGGGTGGGGGTGGAACCCTCACTGGGACTCAGGACCCTCGGGGATCACAGAAAGACCGGGCGTGCCTGAGTGTGGCAGAGCTCCCAGGTATCAGATCGGGGAAGCCAGCTGCAAAGACGGAGCCGAGGAGTGGGCTCTCGGCTCAGGGTTGCCATAAACTGTGATCTGTGGCACTGTTGGGTCACTACTCTTTGAGCAGGGACCCAACAAGTGCAGATCTGGGGAGACTCCCCTTCCTCCCCCGGGAGGAGTGGCGTGGGAGAGCACTGCAGGAATCTGCTGGGTTTGGAGACTCCAAACGGGGTCAGGTGCCAGAGATAGAAATGCTTGGTCACAGGCCAGGTGAGCACGGAGTGCAGCCAGAGACCAGGGAGACAGGAGTGATTGACTGCTTTTCTCTGAGGGCTCACTGAGGAGTGGGGCCCTGAGCTCTTGGCTCCTCTGGGGCCAGAGATTGGGAGGCCGCCATTTTCACTCTCGTCCTCAAAAGCTGTACGGAAATCTTGCAGGGAAAGCTACAAAGAGCAAACCCGAGCAGATTACTTAGCCTGGCCCCTGGCAAGAGCGGTGCAATTCTGCCTCAGGTAAAGACATTTGAGAATCAGTGCAACAGGGCCCTCCCCCAGATCAGCAAGAACGTTCAGCCAAGACCAAGTTTACCAATCAATGAGAACTGCCAAGACTCCAGCGCACATAGAATTCATGGCTTTTTCCCTGTGATTCTTTAGTCTTTCAAAGTTAATCTTTTAAATTTTCTTTTTCTTTTTCAAATTTTTTTAGTTGAATTTTTCTTCTTTGCTTTTTCAACCAACATCTTATCAATTCCTTTTTAAAATTTGTTTAAGATTTCATTATTATTTGAGAGAGAGGGAGAACACAGAGGGTGGGTGAGAGGGAGAAGCAGACTCCCTGCTGAACAGGGAGCCCAATGTGGGACTTGATCCCAGGACTCTGGGATCATGACCTGAGCCGAAGGCAGATGCTTAACCAAATGAGCCACCCAGGCGCCCATCAATTCCTTTTTTAAAATCTTTTTAAATTTTCATCTTTACAGTCATATTCCATCCCTTCATCGTATTTACCCTTATTTTTATATATATGTAAGTTTTTCTTTCTTTAAAAATTTGAAAGGCACTTTCTTCTAACAGACCAAAGTACACTCAAAATCTAGTGTGTGGCTCTGTTCTATTCACTGGCCTGATCATATTAATTTTTCTTTCTTTCTTTTTTTTTTCCCTTTCTTTTCTCCCCAGTTTCGGGTTTCTTCTGATTTGTTTAGTGTATATTTTTCTGGGATCGTTGTTACCCTTTTAGCATTTTGTTCTCTCATTCATCTATTTTCCTCTGGACAAAATGACAAGATGGAAAAACTCACCTCAAAAAAAAGAACAAGAGGCAGTACCGACTGCCAGGGACCTAATCAATACAGACATTAGTAAGATGTCGGAACTAGAGTTCAGAATGACAATTATAAAGATACTAGCTGGGCTTGAAAAAAGCATAGAAGATACTAGATAATCCCTTTCTGGAGAAATAAAAGAACTAAAATCTAACCAAGTTGAAATCAAAAAGGCTATTAATGAGGTGCAATAAAAAACAGGCTCTAACTGCTAAGATAAATGAGGCAGAAGAGAGAACTAGTGATATAGAGGACCAAATGATGGAGAATAAAGAAGCTGAGAAAAAAATAAACAACTACTGGATCACGAGGGCAGAATTTGAGAGATAAGTGATACCATAAGATCAAACAATAGTAGAATAATTGGGATCCCAGAAGAAGAAGAGAGAGAGGGAAAGAAGGTATATTGGAGCAAATTATAGCAGAGAACTTCCCTAATTTGGGGAAGGAGCAAGCATCAAAATCCAGGAGGCACAGAGAACCCCTCTCAAAATCAATAAAGATAGGTCAACACCCTGACATCTAATAGTAAAACTCACAAGACTCAGAGACAAAGAGAAAATCCTGAAAGCAGCTCAGGACAAGAGGTCTATAACCTACAACTGTAGAAATATTAGATTGGCAGCAGACCTATCCACAGAGACCTGGCAGGCCAGAAGGGACTGGCATGATATATTCAGAGCACTAACCGAGAAAACTATGCAGCCAAGAATACTGTATCCAGCTAGGCTGTCATTGAAAATAGAAGGAGAGATAAAAAGCTTGCAGGACAAAGCAAAACTGAAAGAATTTGCGAACACCAAACCAGCGCTACAAGAAATATTGAAAGGGGTCCTCTAAGCAAAGAAAGAGCCTAAAAGTAACATAGACCAGAAAGGAACAGAGACAATATACAGTAACAGTCACCTTACAGGCAATACAATGGCACCAAATTCATATCTTTCAGTAGTTACCCTGAATGTAAATGGGCTAAATGCCCCAATCAAAAGACACAGGGTATCGGATTGGATAAAAAAAACAAGAACCCTCGATATGCTGTCTGCAAGAGACTCACTTTAGACCCAAAGACACCTCCAGATTTAAAGTGAGGGGGGTGGGAAATCATTTACCATGCTAATGGACATCAAAAGAAAGCTGGGTGGCAATCTTTATATCAGACAAATTAGATTTTAAACCAAAGACTATAATTAGAGATGAGGAAGGACACTATGTCATACTTAAAGGATCTATCCAACAAGAAGATCTATTGTAAATATCTATGCCTCTAACATGGGAGCAGCCAATTATGTAAGCCAATTAATAACAAAAGCAAAGAAACACATTGACAATAATACAATAATAGTAGGAGACTTTAACACCCCCCTCACTGAAATGGACAGATCATCTAAGCAAAAGATCAACAAGGAAATAAAGACTTTAAATGACACACTGGACCAGATGGACTTCACAGATATATTCAGAACATTCCATCCCAAAGCAACAGAATACACATTCTTCTCTAGTGCCCATGGAACATTCTCCAGAATAGATCACATCCTAGGTTACAAATCAGGTCTCAACCGGTACCAAAAGATTGGGATCATTCCCTGCATATTTTCGGACCACAGTGCTTTGAAACTAGAACTCAATCACAAGTGGAAAGTCGGGAAGAACTTAAATACATGGAGGCTAAAAAACATCCTACTAAAGAATGAATGGGTAAGCCAGGAAATTAAAGAAGACTTAAAAAATATTCATGGAAACAAATGAAAATGAAAACACAACTGTTCAAAATCCTTGGGATGTAGCAAAGGCAGTCCTAAGAGGAAAGTATATAGCAATACAAGCCTTTCTTAAGAAACAAGAAAGGTCTCAAATACACAACCTATCCTTACACCTAAAGGAGCTGGAGAAAGAACAGCAAATAAAGCCTAAACCCAGCAGAAGAAGAGAAATAATAAAGATCAGAGCAGAAATCAATGAAACAGAAACCAAAAGAACAGTAGAACAGATCAATGAAACTAGGAGCTGGTTCTTTGAAAGAATAAGATTGATAAACCCTTGGCCAGACTTATCAAAAAGAAAAGAGAAAGGACCCAAATAAATAAAATCATGAATGAAAGAGGAGAGATCACAACCAACACCAAAGAAATACAAACAATTATAAGAACATATTATGAGCAACTCTATGCCAGCAAATTAGATAATCTGGAAGAAATGGATGCATTCCTGAGACATATGAACTACCAAAACTGAACCAGGAAGAAATAGAAAACCTGAACAGACCCTAACCACTAAGGAACTTGAAGCAGTAATCAAAAATCTCCCAACAAACAAGAGCCCAGGGCCAGATGGCTTCTCAGGGGAATTCTACCAACCATTTAAAGAAGAATTAATACCTATTCTTCTGAAACTGTTCCAAAAAATGGAAATGGAAGGAAAACTTCCAAACTCATTGTATGAGGCTGGCATTACCTTGATCCCAAAACCAGATAAAGACCCCATCAAAAAGGAGAACTACAGACCAATATCCCTGATGAACATGGATGCAAAAATTCTCACCAAAATACTAGCCAATAGGATCCAATAGTACATTAAAAGGATTATTCACCATGACCAAATGGGATTT